GTGTGAGGTGGGGGAGCAGGCCGCCAACGCGTGAGGTGGGGGAGCGGGCCACCAAGCCGCCGCGTGAGGTGGGGGAGCGGGGCGCCAACGCGTGAGGTGGGGGAGCGGGGCGCCAAGCCGCGTGCGCTCCGAATAAAGGGCCATGTAGACATGCACCAAAACACACGAGAGTGCGTACTTCGCTGGAACTACTACGCCAAGTCACAGAAAAGGCGGGGAGGGAGATTGGAACTGGAATGTTGGGTGTGTGAGGGTGATTTTTTTTTCTCTCTATTTCAACTTTCCTTTAAAATGGCCGGTTACTTGAATTATTCTGAAAATTTATTCTGAACGCTTAGGGGAGAGGAATACAGTGTTTCTATTCAGATAGGATATGTTTGTAGTTAGCAAATACATCTAAGAACAGCACTAAAAATTTACTTTAAAAATGTCTGGACAAGACAGGGGCCCTCCCTGGTGGTGGAACCGATTAAAACACAGCACTGAGAAGCTATCATGGCCACTCCAGCACAAGTTCGGTCCCCGCCCAGGGAGTGACCACATGGCCAGCTGACCTCTCCTGACCTGCCTGCTGCTCCCCTCAGCAGTGGACTTGGTCCATCAGCCTGTTCTGCTCCCCACTCTGTCTCTGGTGAATCCTCTCACCGGCCCCCCATCTCTGGCAGGTAGTCCCAGTTCTAATATGCATAAATAAATAAATCTTTAAAAAAAAAGAAACAGACAAGACAATTCCAGTTACTGCAGTGCCCACTTCGTAGTGACCACTTTGCTAGTAATTAGTGGGTGGAAATTCTTAAAACTGGTGAGGGTCTTAACAACTTTTAGACCTTCTGACCTGGGAATATGTGTCTAGGAACAAACCCTAAAGAGTACCCAAACCAGAAACAAAACAACTCAGGAAACGATTCCTCTGCATGACAATGTGAAAAATCAGTCACCACACACAGCGCTGGTGACAGAGCAGTGAAAAAAAGTCTCAGCATCGCAGCAAGTGAGGGAGCCTGGGGCGATGCAGGTCAGGGGCAGGGAAAACAGGACAACTTCACCCTCAGTGGGCCCTAGGTGCAGCCTAAGACAAACGTGTTTTAATGTACAGTTAAAAAAGCACTGAGAAATAGTTAAAAATATTAGCTCTAGTTGCTCTGGTTGTTCTGAGGAGAGTTATTATTTGAAAAATCTAGAAGAGTACAAGACAAAAAATAAGCCATTCATAAAAGTTCCTCTTCTCTTTCAAAGTTTAGGTCCTTCTAGAATTTCCCTTTTTAAGAGACACACAGAAATATATTTTACAAAATAACTTTCTGATTGGAGAAAATTCATTCTTTTAGAGCTATTCAAATAATGTTAAAAACCCACACTATCACAATGTTTTGCTATATTTGAAATTATGAGAATCATAAATTAAGTGATAGACTTCTAACTCAAAGCAAATAAATAACTGAAAACTACATAGTTGGAAAAGAAAAAAACAATGATGTCGTAAATGTAGAGCCATGGATATGATTTGAATTTCTTGTTAATATTTCTTGTTTAGTCCATACTTAGGTATTTTATCTTATCTGCTGCTATTGTGGACGTATTCTCTACTGGCTATTGTTTGTGTACATACAAAGACAGTTGCTTTCTCTCTGGTCATTTTATATCCCTTACATTATTCCTAAAGCTAGAGAAGCATTGTTATTGTTTTTTGTTTGTTTGTTTGTTTAAGATTTATTTATTTATTCATACAGATCTGGGGTATAGGCCAGAGATGTGGAGGGTGAGAGGACTCCCCAGAGACAGAGTGGGGAGCAGAACAGGCTGATGGACCAAGTCCACTGCTGAGGGGAGCAGCGGGCGTGTCAGGAGAGGTCTGCCGCGCCATGTGGTCACCTCTGGGGCAGGCGGGGAATCGAACTCATGGGGAAGTGGCTTAAGCTTCTTAGTGCTGTGCT